AGGGAACAATGGACCATCTCAGCCCACCACCCCTCCTAACCGAGATGTATACAACCCCAAAGCCCCCAAGCCCCTATCAAGCCCTCTAAACCCAAACCCTAAAACCCTAAAACCCTAAAACCCTAAAACCCAAAAAACCCAAAAACCCAAAAACCCAAAAACCCAAAAACCCAAAAACCCAAAAACCCAAAAACCCTAAAACCCTAAAACCCTAAAACCCTGAACCCTAAAACCCTGAACCCTAAACACTAAACTCTAAACCCCATACTAAGCCCGTCAAGCCCCCAAAACACTTAAAACAAAAAAATGCCCCGAGTAACGGCTTCTGGCGACCCCCCAGTCTCCACGACTCACGCTGGCCTTTGGGCTTGGTTTCAAGCCAAGATGTGATTGTTAGCCAGGCTGACCAAGCTTCAGCTCTTTAACGGCTTTCAAGGTTTTTCCCTAAGCCCTGAACCCTAAACAGCTCTTTAAAGGCTTCTAAGGCTTCTTTCCCGTGGAATTGAGTGTCTGGGTTTCTGTTGTGGGTTTTTGTCGGGGGTGTCAGGGCCAAGGGCCCCTAAACCCTAAACCCTAAACCCTAAACCCTGGGGTTGGGGTTTGGGTTGAGGGTTTCAGCAGGGGAGGAGCACGCAACCTCTTGATAAGTTAAGGGCTTAACGTTTAGGGTTTAGGGTTTGGGGCCTCATGCTTGTGCGCTGCTCCATATGAAGAATGAGGGGCTCTTGTGGGACCTCTTTGCAGGTGTGATCCTGCTAGATTTCCGAGGGAGGGGGGGGGCCTAAACCCTAAACCCTCAACGCTAAACACCCCCAAGGACTCTAGGGAAGCTGTTCAGCAACAGGTTGTACTTAGCTCTGTGATGGCCTGCTTCATGGTCTGCCAATGTAAAGACAGAGAGACAGCCTCACATGCCGAAGGCATCCAGCACAGCCTGCAGGGTCTAGGGTTTAGGGTTTAGGGTTTAGGGTTTAGGGTTTAGGGTTTGGGGTTTGGGGTTTGGGTTTGGGGTTTAGAGATTGGCTGGGTCGCTTTCGGCTTCGGGTCTGGTTTGCATGGCCTCTGAGGACCCCCACCCCCCGCTATGCTTCGCTGTTGGTTCGTAGGGAATGAGGGAACGAGGTACCCTATATCCCCCTATATATATATGTATATATATATATACATAATTATACATATATACCCGTTAAGGGAATATGTAGGGCACCTCATTCCCTCATTCCCTACTAACTGGGTGAGTTGATAAAATAGGAGGGCTCTCCCTCATGCTTTGTAGCCCAGTGGCCCTTCAGTAACCATCGTACAGTAACCTAAGGGTCTCATCTTTCTAGCTGGCTACTTCTTTGTTGTAGCGGAACCCACATAGGATTCAGGGTTTAGGGTTTAGGGTTTCGGGTTTAGGGTAACGCCCAACGTCCCGCCCGATCCTGTAGGTGCTCACCCGAAACTCTCTTTACTCTTTACCTACAGTCTTATAGGGGTTTACGAAGATAGGGGAGCCCTGAATATAGACCCGCGAAGAGTGGGGATCCCTTAAACTAAGGGCCCCAAGAAGGTACCCCTAATTTCGGAAAACCCCTTATGGGTTATACCTACGAAAACAAGGGTTAGTCACTACTAGACTGTGGGCAAACAGAACCCCAAACACTAAACCTAAACCCTAAACCCTAAACCCTATAAACCCTAAACCCTAAACCCTTAGGGTCACTGAGGAATGAAGACCCAAGGAACCTGCTGCTGCTCGCTGATTTCTGCGCTTGGCGCGCTAGCTGCCTGGGGAGCCTGGTACCGGGGAGGGGCGGGGAGGGGGGGTTAGGGTTTAGGGTTTAGGGTTTAGGGTTCAGGGTTCAGGGTTCAGGGTTCAGGGTTCAGGGTTTAGGGTTTAGGGTTTAGGTTTTGGGGTTCAGGGTTGGGGTTTGGGGTTTAGGGTTTAGGATTCAGGGTATAGGTTGAAGGGCTTGAGAACTTGAGAAGGTTAGGGGTGGGCATGGATATGTGGAAGAGCGCGTGTTGGAGAAGCAGGTGGAGGCGGACCACGCCGATTCCCTTCTCACTGAGCTTGTCGAAGCGGTGCTGATTTGAGCTTTGTGCTGTGTCCACAATTGCATCCCAGCAGTTTTCGCAGACGCCGGTTCTAGTGTACTCGCGGAGTCCTTCAGTGGAGTAGTGGGGCTTGTCTTGGCTGCTGCAGCAGATGCAGGTGCCGTTGGAAACGTGTTCTCCGATGTTGAACTGTTTTGCGAGGACTGTTTTGAGTTTGACTATGTCTGGTTTGTTGAGTACGCGCATTGTTTGCATGGTGCAGGCGTTTTGAGACGGAAACTGGTCGTGCGAGGAGTGTTTTAACTGCTGTGTTGCTGTGAGCCGAGGTTGATGCGGGGTTTTCTAGAGGGCGGGGGTTTTAGCGGGCTAGTAGGGGTTTCAGGGTTTGGGGGTTTAGGGTTTAGGGTTTAAGGTTTAGGGTTGCGGGTTCAGGGGTTAGGTGGCGTCTTGGTAGTGCAGTATCCACGTTAACAGAAGGGTACCCTTTTCGAGGTTGGACACTTTTGGGTTTCCAAGTATACAAGCTCACGCTCACGTGCGCCCTATCTTGGGAGTAATTACACACTGCGCAGTCTCATATTGCCAAAAAAAAGCGCTGAATTCTTTATGATCTTGTAGCAGAAGAATGTGTACGTGTGAGTCTCTCGATCTCTGTGTCTCTCTCTCTCTCTCCATATATATATATATGTAAATGCATATGTATCTGCGTAGTCTACCAGTCTACCAAATGTGCACCCGTCTATGGAGTCACCTGCATATGGTATGCAGGTCCCCCCGTACAGCCCCCATGAAGAGCCACCCTGAACGAAGTGGCCTGCGCGTAACCGTCGGCTCCTGTGGAGGGGTTATAGGGTTCAAAACAGATTGTGGGGTTTACAGAATTCATAGGGTTTCGAGGGCTTATGAGTTTAGAGTATAGGAGAGGAGAGCTCGAGCCGGACTGAGTGTAGTTCATTGGGGGATCTTGTGACAACCCTGTAAGTGGGGAGTTCCCTATAGTAAGGCACTTTGGGCCAAATTCTATCCCTAAACCCTAAACCCTCAACCCTATAAAGGACCCCAGAAGGGAGCATCCTTCAGAGGACTACCTAAGGGCAGCAATAAGTGGCGTTCGGCTTCAAAGCTCGGCGTGCCTTTCAGTCATCGGCCACCAAGTTATATTCGCATATTCGCACTGTGGACACAGGGTTCAGGGCAGCGGGTCAGGTGGTTTAAATTGCGCAACCCAAACAAGCGTCTGTGTCTGAGAAAATGGGCGGGGCGCAGGTTTAGGGCTGAGGTCTAAAGCTAGGGTTTGGAATGGCGTCCCACTGGGGGCAGTTTCGGGCGAGCATAGATAGAGTTTCAGTCCGACACCCTAAACCCCGTGAACCCTGTATATATCAGAATTCGAACATATAACCTTAAAACCCTGTAAATAACCTCTGACCTTCAACCCTCAGCCGGAAACCTGGACCCTAAACCCAAAACGTGAACCTTCCATGCGAAGTTAGTGGCATTTCCGTTACCGTGACAGAACGGAGGCCCGCTTCGGGCTTAAGGCTTTATAGACTTCTTGCATGTGAGCGCCAGGTTGAGGGTGTAGGGTTGAGGCTTTGGGGTTTAGGGTGTAGGGTTTCGGATTTATGGTTTAGGGTCTCGGGGCAAGCAAGACCTCTGAAACGTTCTGACACCGACACCAGAAGCCACGGCCAGCCAATCAGACTGCGGAACAACCCCCTATAAGAGCCCTCCAAACTCTGAAAACACAAATTGACCGCCAAGCCTACGCCTGAACCGCCTCAAGCTCCCAAAAAGCCTGAACCCTAAACTCTTCACCCCCCCAACCTTCAAACCTACACCCTCAACCCTAGAAGCCCCAAACCCAAACCCCGAAACGGATTTCTGAGACCAGAGCCTGCGGGCGGGCTAAGTTTGCCCGGCACCTTCCGGTCGGAGCTTTTGAAAGGGGCTTTGAACTGAAGAGTTGAGGGCATTTAGGGTTTAGGGTTTAGGGTTTTTAAGAGTTTGGGAGGAGGTTTGAGAGGTGTAGAGGGTTTGGATGTTTCGAGGCTTTAGAGGGTCTGTTGCGGGCGTCGGGCTTTTTGGGAGCTTCAGGCTGGCAGGGCCAGCTGGGCAGGGTGCAGAGCTAGGGTCGGCAGCATGGCCAACGGCACGAGCGCGCAATGCCTTTCCGACGGCGATTTGTGTGCGATCCCAGTCACTGATTCCAAGTTCCCGGAAAGCATATTTCAATCCGGCCCTTGTCATATGAAGCACGCCGGTGATGGCAGCAACGGACATCGTTTGGACACAGACGCCTCACATGCTGACGTACGGCTTACTGTGTGAAGAGCAGCTATATGGGTCATCAGCCAGCACCGGCAGAAACTAAACCTACTTGCGCTCAGCAATCTTGCGCGGCCATGCTCTCTGCCTCGGCTGGCATGCTGTTAGCCTCAACATCATCGAGAATAGCACTCAACTCGCCATCAAGCAGGAGAACTGGCGCGGTCACACTCAGCAGAACTGGCGTCATGAATCGGTTTAGGGCGAGTACAACAACCTCCTTCCGGACATACGGATTTATAAGGCATTGTGGTGCACATGGCAAGCGAACGACATGTGACGCTTCCATCGCCACCACAGAACGCTTCAGCGCAAGGTCGGCAAACAGCAGCGCCGGCTCTGCCTGATCTTGAACGACTTCCGGTGAACTGGCACGACCTCCTGCCAATGCGGTCGCAACTCGATCCAAGATACCTGGCTGCAGCCCACGTGTGGAGGAACAGTCTTCATCGGTCGCAGGGATGCCGTCATGCCGCTCGACGAGTTGCTCGTCTTCCCTCTCCATCTTCATGTGACGCGCAAACTCCTTCAGCACCAAGAAAATGCTGACTGCGGCAACTAGCTTGCTCAGCACTGCTGCTGCCCTCGGGCTATCTCCGCTGGTGTGAAAGGTGGCAGTGGCTGTTCCGTCATGGTCGCGAGATTACCGTCTTGAGAAGTGGGGCGGCCTCGTAGGGATTGTGGACATGGTCATCTATTCCCAGAGAGTACTTCACCTTGATGTCCTGCGTATCTTCACAAACTTGAAGATGGCTTGACTCCGCATCCAGCTGATGCCTCCAAGCAACCTGGTGTACGCTATGCTCGGGCTCAAAGACTTGGCCCTTACGACTCTTACGACTGTGCACCTTGGCCGCCAGGCAGCACTCTGAGCGAAGGAAGGGCAGCATACCCGGAGCATCAAGACTCACCACATCTCGGGGTGTAAGGTCGCAGCTGTCATGATACCCCACCCACCGGGTGGAGCGCAGTGCTTCGTGGAAGAGGTCTCGCGCCAGTTGCATCAGCTGTGACAGAAGCCATCCGACAACTTCGGGAAGATGTTGCTCTGCTCCATGAGTCTGAGGGAGGACAAGATCGGAGAAGTCGGCAAAACGCTGGCCATCAAGATTGCGAATTTCCTCATGTCTATCGCCGAGTGGCACACCACGATCTTCGGCAGCCAGCCACTGCACCAACATGACGAACAAGGTGCAGGCCATGTCATGCTTGCCAGCTGATGTCAAGAAGACCTGCAAGAATTTGGGCACCTCAACCAGGCTCCACAACCGATCCCTGTCACCTTCGCTTTTGTCAAGCATCGCCCTGTCACGGAAGAGGACTTCCAAGTTCTTGCTGGACATGAGTCGGAGAACGCATGCTGCAAGAAGGCAGGTGATGCGCCTGTTGCGGCTAAGCTGGCGGTTCAGAGCTTCGTGAAGAAAATGACAAATCGGTAGCTGATTGAAGGACAGCTGCTCCACCCTGCCAACCTGCCAAATGCAGGAGCCCGGGACCTGCGCATTCCATGGAGGAGAAGTTGAGGCAAGGACATTCACCAAGTTGCTCTCCGCGAAACTGCCACAGAACTCTACGCTGGGAAATGGTCGGCCCAAGTACTTGTTGAGCGGAAGGGAGACCACAAGCTGCTTTTGAGGATCAGTCAGTGGTTCAGGGATTGTTTGCGGCAGGCTTTGGGGATCGAAAAATGAGCAGTACTGGGAACCAAACAGGGAGAAGCGCCTGTTTCGCTCAGCTTGTGTGATGTGGAAGGTTTCCAAGACATCACTCCATCCACAATCTTCCTCCTTCCGTTGCACGATCCGGCGCAACTCACACACATCAAAAACGAGACGCAACTGAGCCCACAAGTCCGCCCGCCTTGGTGAGAACAGTGCGACTGTGCACACAAGCACTTTGGTGGCAGTGTCAACGCGCGCCCCCGCTCTGTCCGGCCGTGCAGGGTTCTTGTCTGGATGCTGGCATCCCCCAAGACTCCTTCATTTGCGCTGCGCACACTGCGCATGTCATTCGAGCCACCAACCACAAGTGCCACACGTCCTGGCCACTGCTGCAGATAGTGCTCCCTGATGCGCCATTCCGTTCGATGGCCATGGTGCGAAAGTATGTCTGCATCGCCTCCCAGCAGTAAGAAGGGGTGTGCAGCCGAAGAGGGTGTCTGGACGGCAGGCATCGCCGACAAGCCAAGGTGCTGGACGAAGCGCTGGCCGGATTCACAAAATGCTGCGGAAGGTATGCAGACATGGCAGCAAGCCGTGAACGGATGCACGATGAAAAGCTGCAAGCAGATTGAAAGCTACTTGCTTTTAGAGATGATGCAACAAACGGACTGACCCTCAACCCTAATCCCTAAGCCCTAAGCCCTAAACCCTACACCAACAAAAAGATCTGCAAACGCAAGATACCCACGCTGAGCTGAACCTGCACCGCACATAGTGGGATTGTTGACTTATCACACCAGGCCACCACAGTCTGTGAACCCAACATGTCATGACTACACCCCAAAACAATCCCACATGCCTGGAGAACTCTCTCGGAGAGTTCTGCATCTAAACTCTAAACTGCAAACCCTAAACCCTAAACCCTAAACCCTAAACCCCAAACCCCAAACCCTAAACCCTAAACCCTAAACCCTAACCTCCTCCCCCCACTCCCGGCCTCAGTGTAGCCAGACTCCTGAACCTTGGCCACCTCCTCGAAGTGGCCGTCGTAGGCCTCCGGGGGTAAACGGGGGTTTAGGGTTTAGGGTTTAAGGTTTAGGGTTTAGGGTAGGGTTTAGGGTTTAGGGTTTAGGGAAGGTTTGGGGGTTTGGGATTTGTTTTGGCTGCTTTTCTAGGGATCTGGTGTTTTGGAAGTTTAGGGTTCTAGGGTAAAGCGGGGGGGGGGGGGCTTGTCTAGGCAGTCCTTCGACACTGACATCCATAATGCTGTGCCCTGACATTTCCAACTCTAGGGGGTTTGGGTTTGGGGTTTGAGCTTAGGGCCGTTGTAATTGCCCCAAGGCAGACTATCCGCTATTTGGGAGTTTTCGCAAGCTGTCAGTCACCTTTTCTGAGTGCTCCCCGAATGGGGCTTGTCAAGGGCCCATGCGTCAGAAAGCGTCAGAAAGCATTAAGTAAGGTAAGGGATCATGTCCAGACTTTCAGAGTTTGGGTCCCCAAACCCTAAACCCCTATAAATCCCAAACCGTAAACCCTAAACCCCTATTACCCTAAGCCCCAAACCCATATGAACCTACTATGGCCCTAAACCCCTAAACCCCAAACGCTCCCAAAGACCCAGGGAAACTGAAGCCCTACTTGGAGGTTCATGGTACATAGTAACCAATTATAACTGTACTTATAACCCACATATGAGCCACCTAAGTGCTCTAATATCTTCATATCTGTAGATATGAGTACAGTTATAACCCTAAACCCTAAACCCTAAACCCCAAACCCTAAGTGCAGCTATAATTGCTTACTAAGTACTATGAACCTCCAAGTAGGCGGCCCTCCGTCCTCCTTGAAGATGGTTGACATGCCCTCGCCTCAATCGATTAGGGTTTTCGGGCTGCTTGGGGGGTTTAGGGTTTAGGGTTTAGGATCTAGGGGCGAAAGGGTTTCATGGGCTTAGGGCTTTAGGGGTTTCAGGGCTTTAGGGGTGGTGAACAGCGAAGTTTCTTCACGCCCCAACGCCCCAACAAATGAAAAACCCTAAGCCGGCCATGAACCCTGAGGCAGGTCCGTCTCCCTTGGACCATTTTTTCATTGGGCTCAGAACCTTCAGCTTTCCTAAGAATGCCCCACACCCAACGGCCCAAAAACGTAACCTTTATAAACCCTAAACCCTTGGCAGCCCAGTCAGTAACCCCTACTGCCCTAAGGCTACCCTTTGGGGTTGGGGTTTAGGGACGTGTTTTATAAAGGGGACCCGGTGAAGCCAAAGAGGGCAAAAACAACAGGCACCACTCAGCTACCAAACCCTTCTGCGCTTGTGGCCACAGAGCTTGGTAATTCTAGGGTTTAGGGTCTAGGGTCTTTTGGTCTCAGGGTCTTCTTGGGGTCTTGGTGTCTGGGGTTTAGGGTTTATGCCCCCAAAAGACCACGCAACGAGGGCTACCTGAGGAGTTCGTGCCACAGAGTTTCGACCACTGGGTTTCGGGCGGCACGTCCAAAACGCGAAACATATGCCGAAGAAGATACACTTTCAAAGTTGAAACCCTAATATGCACAGAAAGATGAACGTATCACAAGGCTCCTGCCTAGCTACAGGCGGCCCATCGTCAGGAGGCAGGTTCTGGAATTGTACTTCCAAGCATGTGCGCAAAAAAAGGCTTTGCTTTACTAAGTATGGTTAGGGACTCAGAAAACAGCAAAACCACTGGTCCTTTTGGCTGGTTCTTAGTAGGGAGTGAGGGATGAGGTACCCTATATGAAGTAGGGTATATATTTCTTGTACCACCAAACATATACACTCACCAAAGTTAAAAGGAACCTTACATACACTCACCAATCACAGTCATATAGTCACTGTTTCATATCCCCCTATATGCCTTTTAATTTAAGGGATTCTGCAGGGCACCTCGTTCCCCAATTCCCTACCAAGAACCAGGTGGTCGATGAACCCGAAACCCAAAACCCCAAACCCAGTCAAGTCGCCATAGGAAACGGCCAGCATGCTGCCTGTGATGGACCTGAAGATTGAGGGCAAGGCCCGGTTTCGGGGCATTCGGGTTTGGGGGTTTAGGGTTTTGGGTTTCGGGTTTAAGGTTCAGGGTTTCTTGGCTTTAGGGCTCGGTTACCTTAAGATTTGTAGCAGCCCTAAGCCCTAAACCCTAAAACTATAAAAAGCCCTATATATCCCAAAGGTTAAACCCCTATATATCCGAAAGGGTTAACCTTTTGTTCCCCTACTGTAGGGTGCTGATGAACCCCAAGCCCTACGTAAGCCCTATAGAAGCCCTATAGAATAGAAGCCCTAAGCCCGAAGCTTGCAACCCCAAGCCCTAAACCCCAAGCACTCATGCCTAATTAGAATAGGGTTTTGGGGGTTACTATCGTATGCTGAAAAAAGGGCCCCGAAGGGAATACTATTACTATTAGTAGTTATTCCGACCCCTATATTACCCGCGAAACCCTCACCCCACGTCCCTCCGGGGAGCCACGCCATGAGAGGCCTTCCACTTTGCCACTCCTCAGCCAAGGCAGCGAAGGGCTCAGGGTTTAGGGTTTAGGGTTTAGGGTTTAAGGTTTAGGGTTTAGGGTTTAGGGTTCCCAGAAGAGCCTAATCGTCCTTAATAAAGTCTTAATTGAAGGTTTAGGGTTTAGGGGGGATCCTGATTCTGCTTTAAAGTCTATTCCCTAACTAGGGGTGCACTGGACTATTTGGGCACGGGTTTCCCAATCGGGGAACAGGTTTAGATTTTGGGTCCTTTGGGTTTAGCCGGTGTTGAGGGTTTTAGGGATTGGGTTTATAGTGGGGTCCTTTTTTGGAATCTAGAGTTTGGCGATGTCTGGGGGAGTCCTTGTTTCAGTTCAGAACAGCCTAACTCAATTTTCCAACCCAGCCCGAGATGTTTCGGATGCCTTTCTCGGGTTCGGCACGTGATTATGTCTCGGGGTTAGGTGAATCCCTAAACCCTAAACCCTAAACCTTAAACCCTAAACCCTAAACCTGGTGAATCTTGAGCTGCGGGCTGCTCTGAGCTTGGGGCTTCTGCATGCTTGTGCCAAGGCTGCCCAGATTGAGTTGCATTTTAGAAACCCTCGAAGCCATGTCATTGTATACTCGTTTAGGGTTTAGGGTTTAGGGTTTAGGGTTTAGGGTTTAGGGTTTAGGGTTTAGGGTTTAGGGTCCTTTCGAAAAATCATGTCCATATGTGAGTCTCCTCGTATAAAGAAATTTGGCTGCCACATTAGGAAGGGTAGGGAGCATCCTGAGACCCATCTGGGAGATTGCAAAAGGGGGGGGGGGGGGGGGAGGGTTTAGGGTTTAGGGTTTAGGGTTTAGGGTTTATAGGGTTTAGGGTTTATAGGGTTTAGGGTTATAGGGTTTAGGGTTTAGGGCTTAGGGCTTAGGGTTTAGGGGTTAAGGGAAAATGCATAGCTCTTGCAAGGTTGGCACCTTGCATCTCACAGACCACGAGGGCCTGAATAAGCTGAGAGGGTTTAGGGTAGAAGGATTAGGGCTTACGGCTTAGGGTTTGGAGAATTGCTGATGTCGCGGCCCGTATGTTGAGAAATACCCGGAGATGGGACCCTTGAATTCTGAGATCGGCGAAATGACTCCGAGCGGCACGTTGAGCTTTGCAAGCTGTCTCCACGCGTGTCCTCCAGCGAACGTTATAAAAGTTGACACACTTGGTAGCCCGGCGGCCACATCATCATAAGGGTACCCTTTTCGATGTTGGTTGCTATAAGGCACCAGAACCGAAAAAGGCTCAAAGGGCACAACTCAGCCACTAAGACCAAGAAAGGTTGACGCAGGCGTATGGCTTCGGGACCCGAAGTTTTCTGATCAACCTCAACCCGACAAACCCCAAGATGTCAGACGGACAAAGTCTAAGCATGTCCATTTTTTGTGGGAACTGCTTGCAACACCCGAGAAGAAACACAAATCTAGGGGCCCTAAACCCTAAACCCTAGCCCCGAAACCCTACACGTTAAAAGGTTTATGGTTTATAGGGCTCTGAGGTCAACCCGTACTCTGCAACTTGCTAGCCCAGGAACCATATCAGGATAAGGATGCCATTCTGGGGATTGGTTACGTTGAAGGGAACTCAGAACCCACAAAAGGCAAAGGGCACCACTCAGCCACCAAGGTAAACCGCCAAACCCTGAACCTTAAACACAAAACCCACTCAGCTACCGAGACAAAGCGCAACCCTAAACCCTAAACCCTAAACCCATGAGACCACCAAGGGGCCTTCCATCTCCTGCGTCCAGATGACGACAGTGTTGTCCCAGCTCCTGCGATTGACAGCTCGTTGATGGGGGTTCAACTATATTCGTTCATTGACTTTAAGGCGCAGGGCCTGCTTCCAGCCTCAGTAAAGATGCACCGCCGCCACAAGCACCCACCAGCGTCTTCATAAGCC